ATAGCGCCTTAATTCTAAACGAGAGCCACTGAAAGGAAAAAAATTAAGGAGAAAAAGGCTACTTGGCATTACCCTACTTTGAGGGTAGCAAAGTAAGGTCAGTTTATAGATCGATCGTTTTTACTTTTAAAATTTGTTTAAAAAACTCCTCAGTTACGCACACAAAGCGGAAGAGCTTGATAATCTTTCGTGAGCGCAATATATACCTGGGATCATGCATTTGTTCATTTCTCACCGGTACAATTTTGTAGCTTATCTTTCAGTGCCAGCTCAACCAAGACCCACCATGACACAGTTAAATTTTCTGTCAGGAGTCATCGTTTTTGTTCTTTTGGCCATGGGTAAGTAGAAAAGTCGCAAAGCGATTGAAAAAAAACTGGTGATATTCCGCATCACTTTTCATGATCAATTAAATAATTCTCTGTCCTAAGAAATATTGATCGTTGTAGGAAAGAAATAAATGATTCTTATAATTTGAAAGCCATCTTCATTCATATTCAAATTTTGAGTCCGCTTCATACCTTACCACAGTATGAAGATAATGAGCATAGTTTTATGATTCCTACAGTTTCAGAGAGCCATTGTCAACTGAATCAGACTGCGAGCCCGTTAAGACTTCTCCCAACTTGTGGTGGGATAAGCTATGACCCAAGGACACAGCTTTGCTGTTCAGGTGTCATATCATCCAGGAATGGCTCTAAAAATGCTTGCTGTGGAAATACTTCATACAACACCAGAACACATTTATGTTGTTCTCGCACACTTCATCCAAGATTCTTTGGCAAAGTACATGCTTCATGTTGTGGGTAAGTTTGCATTTAAGGGCCAGTAATATCTATTACATCAAGATGCTCCTATCAAAAGGATTGTAAAAGGAACTAGGTTTGTACCTTGAGTGATTTGCCATCAGTCATAATTAATCAAGGTCACTTCCTTTTCGTTCGTTTTGGTTGAGATTCCAAGGGCGAGGAATTGTGGTGGAAAATTGTGCAATATTCTCTCTTAATTTAATCACTTGTTGGTATTAGTTTCGAAATGTAACTTAAGCACTAAGCAAGATTTTTTCCGTTACTACAGGGAGCAAAGTTACAACCCTTTAAGTCAAGGTTGCTGTAGAACTAGGGCGCTGACTGTTTATAACAGAAGTACAGAGGTATATGTCAAGAAAATGCCTCAATGTCTATATGTATCTTTGTAAAAATATTAACTCGCTCGATCGGCTACTTCTTTTCAGGTAGGGATATATCAATGGAAACTTATTTTTAGTGAATTGTTGATATGCTATTGGGGAACTGTTTGTGATAAGTTGACGGGCTGCGAACCGACGAGTAGTTGTGAAAACTGAAAAAATTGAAACCAATATTTCAATTGATAAATAGTCTATTCAGGAATAAAAATAAGTTACATTGTTTATTGCTACTATCTTCCATAGATCTTGCATTTGACCTTGTATTTCGTTCATATATAGGCTTGTTGCTCCTGGAAAATTGTGCCTAACCCAACCGGTGTACTATTTCCAAGGTGCTGTTTAACCAGTCCGTACAACCCAAAGACTCAAGTGAGTATTCATTTTGTTGAACTGCGTATTAATTCAGTTACTTTTCCTTCAACATTGTTTATTCAATTCATTGTTCAAAAATTTTAACTCGCTCGATCGGCTACTTCTTTTCAGGTAAGGATATATCAATGGAAACTGATTTTTAGTAAATTGTAGATATGCTGTTGGGGATCTGTTTGTGATAAGCTGACGGGCTGCGGACCGACGAGTCGTTGTGAAAACTGACAAAATTGAAACCAATATTTCAATTGATAAATAGTCTATTCAGGAATAAAAATAAGTTACATTGTTTATTGTTACTATCTTCCATAGATCCTGGATTTAACCCTGTCTCTCGTTCACATATAGGCTTGTTGCTCCCGGAAAGTTGTGCCTAACCCAACCGGTATACTATTTCCAAGTTGCTGTTTAACCAGTCCGTACAACCCAAAGACTCAAGTGAGTATTCATTTTGTTGAACTGCATATTGATTCAGTTACTTTTCCTTCAACATTGTTCATTCGTACTCCTGTAGAGTGGTTACTCTGGGAGAATCTTCGGCTCAGGTAGGTATAAATTAATAGAAAATGATTTTTTTTATCATTGAATTATAGGCATGCTGTGGGGGATGTGTTGTTAGTAGGCCGAGCCGAGACTGCGGACCGACGAGCTGTTGTGGCAGCACACTAATCTTCTCCACTTATCAGATTTGCTGCGCTGGAACGATCATATCTAGGCCAACACTTTATGCGCGGTGCTGTGGAACTGCAGCTTATAACCCATACAAAGAGGTGACTTCACATTATGCTTTCTATCCAAGAAAAAAACAGTATCTTGTTTCAAAGTCGTGGGTAATTCGGGTTGTATTAATTCTGAATCACTGTGGTTATAGTTGGTCAAAGAAACTTCGCTTTTCCCTCTTTACAAGTCAGATGTAGAAAAAAAAAAACCAAAACAAAAAGGCAATCGCGACTCGGTCACTCTTGTCTTTCTGCGTTAAAGCAATTAAGTTGTTGTTACTTTGAGGTCTCGTTGGGTCCGTATTATATACTTACCTTTCTCGCATGACTGGTCAGGTGATAACCTTGATCTTAATTTACGATAGCCACTTAAAATGCGTTCCATTATTGATGGTGAACATTGTGTACCAACATAAAAAAATGATAATAATAACTTTCATAATTATTCTTCATTAATTATTTTCAAGTTACAAACCTTAAACGGTATTTTCTGGCTCACATACTTTTGCCTCAACATAGACTTAAAGAAGATTTTGAGTCGTGATTAGTGCGGTAGGTTTCCCTCAAGTGGCTGCACATAACGAACTTGAAATTTTTAATAACGTTGTATCTAAATGGTAAAATTGCATACTTTCATAGCCTCTTAAAGAAAAAATTCTGCGCTGTCAGCTCCTTACTTCTTTTGAGAGTGGTAGAGGTATCTTTATGTAGAAGTAGCTCAAGAGAACTTTAAAATATAATTTTCCTTTTAGTCTCATCCTATAAATTGAGACCAATATTTCATTTGATAGTCTCTTCACCTGTGGAAATAAGTTCTATTGTGAATTTTGTTCGTATCTTCCACGGAACTTGTATTTAACCTTGTCTGTCGTACACACATAGGCCTGTTGCTTCGGGAAAATCGTTCCTAACCCAACGGGTGTATCACATCCAAATTGCTGTGGAACTCGTCCGTATAACCCAAGCCGTCATGTGAGTATTACATTTTGTTGAATTGTATGTTTGTTCGGCTACTTTTCCGGCAACATTGTGTTTTCATACACTTATACCCGTAGGTTTGTTGTTCTGGGAGAATCATACCTAAACCATGGGGTTTAACTTCTGCACTTTGCTGTGGAAACAGTCTGTATAACCCAAAGACTCAGGTGAGTATTTTCATTTTGTTGAATTGCTCGTTAACTCGGTGACTTTTCCTTCAAGGTTTTGTGTCATAAACTTACAGGTTTGTTGCTCTGAGAGAATCATGCCTTAACCATGAGGAATCTCCCTCTTTTATCTAATTTCCCAGGGTTGCTGTGGAACTCTCCTGTACGATCCAGGTCTTCAGGAGTGCTGCCGACCAGGGTTAGTTCAGCAAAAAGGCTGCTGCAAGCCAGGATACTCCAGTGCCCTTACAAAACGCATCAATCCGGCTGAGAATTGATACAACGTTACAATTTTGCTGCACTGATGGTTTAAAGTCTTTTGCTTTTAGCGACACGCTATAGCGCGTTTGTCGCCATCAATAACTAAAATTTATCCACAGTAGATTGTTAGATATTTCGTTTAAAGTAATAACTACTTTAAATCAGTTGTTTTCGCTTCAAAATAAACTTGTACGCAGCATTTATCTTGTCGTTCTTGTATCAACCTTTCAGTAAGATATCCCGTATTTATCAAATTCGCTTCCAGAGGAAATAACGATTTGACAAATTAAATGAGAGTCCGAGAACATCTGCAAGACTTGAGGTACGTTCTCAAAGTTAGTGCTTTACCACGGCAACGAACGAACATACACAATCCATCACGAGCGTCATTCGTCATATTAACCATAAATAACATTTCAATGTAGCCGGTTTCTCATATCTTTACAACGTTATGTTAACTTCTACTAATCTGAGTGCCTGAGCGTTGCTTCCTATGCCCTGACGACCCCAGTGAAAACTATTGAGATTCTATCGACGTTTTGTCTCACAAACCAACCCATATGTACCTTAATAATTCTTTAGATGATCCAGTCGCTTTAATTTTTCAGGAATAGTTAAAAATTACCATCACATTTTAGACGTAGGGGAGATATTAATCAAAGTGCAATTTTCAAGCAGACTTTGGGGTTTCATCCCTGGGTTTTGATTTAAGAGCTTTCGGGCCTCAGGGATTAAACGGGATCCCAAACTACTTTGGATTCTGGGATAACTTTTTGAACCTAATAATCTGTGAAAGTTTGAAAGCCGGTGGGTTGGCATGTGTCACACTTGCCTGGTCCTCTCCCTGAAAGTGTAGTACATTCGCAAAAATCTGCGTAGTCTGAGGACGGAAATGCCTAGAGAAACGGTGAACTCATCCAGAAATTTACGGGATTCTTTACAAAACATTAAATTGATTATTCAATCAGTTCTCTGCGTTGCTGTCCTGTCAGTATGAGGTCCTTCACTTCCTATGGGTGGAAGAGAGGACTCTGGGGACGAGACTTGTTCGTTCCCTGTTTCCACTCAGCCATGAGCCGTCCTTAATCCAAGATGGCGGCCCGGTTGAAGTTAGGTGAGATTTTGTAAACACACGTGTTGCAATGCCAGTGCTCAACAATGCGTGGAGTAGACTTGTACTTACAATTTTAGCAAATGTCACAGGAAACTTGACGAGACTTTATAGCCCATACAAAATTACAGCCTCCTGCCTTGAGTTTGAAGCTCGCGTGGTTCCTAATTAACTGAAGTCATTGATACATGTACATGGGTTAATGTCAGTTTGAACAGTTAAGCCAAGCACAACAGCAGCTGAATTGACAATGCTTAATACTAGCAGTCCGCAGCTATGAAAATATGAAACTTCCACAATCGGTTATGAAATTGAAGACATACACTGTACGCTCGCAATGATTTGTTGAAAACAGTCGTGCAGTCTCCAGTCTTTAGTGCTGAAGCTCGTGCGGCTCCCAAGCAAAATCTACAAACACATTCATGTTGCTTAAGTTTTCACCTTATCAGAACGTTATAAAACAGTGTGAATTCTATTTATCATTACCGATACAAATGAACTTGTTGATAAAACTGGATGTAAAAATTTTAAACCAGAGAAAATATTAATCACCGTGCAAATGTGCATAAGGAAGGATACATCTGTAGGTCGCGGCATTGACTTACTAATTTTATTTTGCATTTTATTTCCAAGTCTGCCCTTTGTGTGATGCTAGAAGATGTTTATGGAGAAGAATTTCCTTGCTTTAATTTAATAAAAGCACCTCACAATTAAATGATAGCAATGGAATTTGAAACATTGGGAAACAAAACAGGAAACCTGGAAGATGTTTCTAGGCCAGTCAAGACAGTTGAGGTGCCTTTGATTTGTATTACTACATCTTTTGTTAATTTTGAAGAACAACTCCCTGAAAAAAACCAATCAGCTAACAGTTGGCCAACAGTCAGTCAACAGACGGCTGACAGTCAGCCAACAGATGGCCAGCAAGTGGCCAATTGTCAGCGGTCAGTTTTAACCAGACCAAAGTGTATATAAAGTACAGTCAAAATTTAGTTTTTCCCTTTTATTCTTGGGTGCATTGCCAATATTGGTAGCCTGTGGGTTAGCCTGATAGTGACCTGTTGGTTATCTGTTGGCCAACAGTCAGCTGACAGAGTTTCTTAAGGAGCTCTTCTTCACACTTACCCATCTTTCAGTAATGTATGAACTTTGAGGCTCAGTGACACTAACATAAACCAGAATGAAGCTGCAGGACTGCCAATGCACTCCAGTTACATGAATAAGAGTCCTCTATTGAGATATTGAAATGGTGTTCAGATTAGCATGTTGTATTACACCTATATAAAGCCAGTGGGG